GGGACACGCGCAATAAACCCTTGCTGTGCTGGGAGCCCTTTTTGGCTGGCAGTATTGAGGAAGGGAGACACCGGGTCCGCCAGTGACACGGGCACTCACTGACGGTTTTATTTAACACGGTGTGACCTATCGGGCTCTTCCTAGGAGTCATTTGGTGCTTCATTATTTAAAATCAACAAGGCGTGCTTAAAGCATCAGACAAGCTCGGTGCATATTAGTTGATTTTATTCAACACATCACGGGGGTGTGTGTTCTATATATGGGAAAATAAGTTTAAACCCTTTCGTTCGACCAAATCGATTGGTCTAAATTAACCGGACGACTCCTTGGTCGACCAATATTTTTTAAGTCGGGGACAGGCCCGAGTTAAGGATGTTTTCTGTATTGTATACAAATACACAATACAGTAGTTACCCCCCATGATCCTGTTAGGATTTGTTCTGTAAATGTATTCCAAACCCTCAGACCAGGATCCTGTTAGTATCTTGTTCTGTACTGTGTTACACACCCAAGGATTCTGTTTTAGGATGTTTGTTCTATTACTGTGTTTACGAACACCCCCAGGATCCTGTTAGTATATTGTTCTGTACTGGTGTTACACAACACAACACACACCCCCAGGATCCTGTGTAGATGTTGTTCTAGTATACCGTATTACAATTACCCCCCCAGGATCCTATTAGGAATTTTTGCTGTACTGTGTTACACCCCAGGATCCTGTTAGGATGTTGTTCTATACCGTATTAACCCCCAGGATCCTATTAGGATGTGTTCTGTACTGTGTTACACCCCCAGGATCCTGTTAGGAGTTTTCTATACCGTATTACACCCCAGGATCCTATTAGGATGTTGTTCTGTACTGTGTTACACCCCCAGGATCCTGTTAGGATGTTGTTCTATTACCGTATTACACCCCCAGGATCCTATTAGGATGTTGTTCTGTACTGTGTTACACCCCCAGGATCCTGTTAGGATGTTGTTCTATACCGTATTACACCCCCAGGATCCTATTAGGATGTTGTTCTGTACTGTGTTACACCCCCAGGATCCTGTTAGGATGTTGTTCTATACCGTATTACACCCCCAGGATCCTATTAGGATGTTGTTCTGTACTGTGTTACACCCCCAGGATCCTGTTAGGATGTTGTTCTGTACTGTGTTACACCCCCAATAAGTCTCACAGATAATAGATATTATTTCAAGTACTAAGAAAACCCTGCTTTTATTCTTAACCCTGTCAACACTATATACCACCCCAGAGGATTCCAGCTCTTCCTCTGAGCCTGACACTGTAGAGCCTCTAGCCCTGCTAATGCTCTGCATGCCTGGCCTGGGCAGAGATGGAATTTCAGCAGAACTTGTATTTGTAGAGATCTTTTGGATTTGCCCTGAAGGATCCTTGTATTTGTAGAGATCTGTTGGATTTGCCCTGAAGGATCCTTGTATTTGTAGAGATCTGTTGGATTTGCCCTGGAGGATCCTTGTATTTGTAGAGATCTGTTGGATTTGCCCTGAAGGATCCTTGTATTTGTAGAGATCTGTTGGATTTGCCCTGGAGGATCCTTGTATTTGTAGAGATCTGTTGGATTTGCCCTGAAGGATCCTTGTATTTGTAGAGATCTGTTGGATTTGCCCTGGAGGATCCTTGTATTTGTAGAGATCTGTTGGATTTGCCTGGAGGATCCTGTATTTGTAGAGATCTGTTGGATTTTCCCTGGAGGATCCTTGTATTTTTAGAGATCTGTTGGATTTGCCCTGAAGGATCCTTGATTGTAGAGTCTGTGGATTTGCCTGAGGATCCTTGTATTTGTAAAAGATCTGTTGGATTTGCCCTGGGAAAGGATCCTTGTATTGTAGAGATCTGTTGGATTTGCCCTGGAGGATCCTTGTATTTGTAGAGATCTGTTGGATTTGCCTGAAGGATCCTTGTATTTGTAGAGATCTGTGGATTTGCCCTGGAGGATCCTTGTATTGTAGATATTTGATTGCCCTGGAGGATCTTGTATTGTAGAGATCGTGGATTTGCCCTGGAGGGTCCTTGATTGTAGAGGGGGATCCTGTTTGGATTTGGTTGCCCTGGAAGGATCCTTGTATTTGTAGAGATCTGTTTGGGTTGCCTGGGACCTGTATTTGTAGGATCGTTTGGGTTGCCCTGGAGGATCCTTGTATTTGTAGAGATCTGTGGATTTGGCTTTT